GGAAAATGACATTGCAGTCTAACAAAGGGAAGTTACCACTTCCAATCTTCCCTTTTCCATGGGGTTGACTAGAAGCATCGACTTTCTATTTTTTAGGCATTGGGAAGATCCTTTCGTCATATCAAACATAGGAATGCCACAAGATTCATGGAGTTTCAACTCTGGGAGCCGAAAACTCTGCGATCAGTTCAATCATATTTTTAAAATAACGAAAGGGGAATTTTCAAGATATTAATTAGATGTCAACAATTTAAGATTTCTAGAGTAAAGGGTGTTTGCTCCAATGATATTTTGAATTCTAAACGAATGAATCATTCAGAGAGTTACTACAAGTTTTATGCTCAAATAGGCCCTTTGCATGCTCTTGCAGAAAGAAATCAATAAGAAGGCATAATGAATTTGTCTAGTTTTCGATCCCAAATAGTTGGGAAAATGCTATGAGAATGAGTGGTCCTCAGTATTAGCGTTGATCTTTATAATGTCAAATGTTTAGCATAAAATCACTAGTGATTTCTAAAAATAGGTAGCGGCTTGTAGTATTGCCAAGTCCCATGATGAGTTTTCTGACTTCATTCTCACCAAAGGGTAGGGGCCAAATCCTCACTGACTCACCACTTTTTGCATTTGAAAATCACTAGTTATTTCTAGAAACGAGTAGGGGCATGTATTCCCCATTGATCTACCAAAAAAAAAAAGTCATTAAAACTCTTGTTTGCATTCGATTAAATTAATTCGCAATGTTAAAACTATGTAGAGATTATGCCATCAATAGTATTAGATTATCAAGAAGAAAGAGAGGAAAGTATTAAACTTATAATGCCTCATCAGTGTTATATAAAATACAATTGCTACACTGCAATCACAAATATTGTTGGGTTTATGTGGCTTTTAAAGGTTTTATGAGAGCTTGTATGAGCATTTTATATAGTGAAACATAAACTCAGTGCAAGTGTGGTCCTCTTGTGGACCATATTAAGCAAATACAATTTTTCAATACTCGGACTAGACTCTACGTGCTAGGCTAGTTTGGAAAAACCCAAGGTACCTAGGCATAGGGATCTACGAGAAGGATTTAGTGAGTTAGCCTTTGATGATGTCGGAGTATGCCTAGATGAGAGCCGATAGACTATGTGGCCCTTACATGTGATGAATAGCCTCTAAAGACATGACTAAAACCTCATCGTTATATCATCACACGGCATGTACATAGATAGCCATTTGGTATTTACTAATGAGAGTGAAACGTGTACATATGCGAGATATTACCCCTATGCACTATAGAGTCATGGTTGCATCATGGTCTGGAGGACTATGATTTTTTTTTCTCAAAGGGATAACATAAAATCCATAAATTAGGATTGTGTCCCCTAGTCTATTGGCGTACTTCGGTGGTCTAATCATGAGCCCCTGCAATGGACTGTGGGTCATGAGAATTGCTAAGTCAGTTTGAGACAGCTAGGTAGATCGTGGTCCGCAGTTGAAGGTGGAGTGCTCCCATATATTGATAAATTCCTAGATCTAACGGACCCAATTCCCATCAAAAGTAATTAGTTTTAATTATTTTTATGATATATGACTTTTAGAATGTTTATTTAAATTTTTGTAGATCTTTTGATATTTTATTTTTATCATTTGGATTTACAAATTAAGATAAATTAATTTTCTAATGTTTAAATAAAATATAAGATTTAAAAATTCTAAATACAAAATAAAATATTTTCTAAAATTATATGGGACTCTTCATAAATATGAGAGCCTAATTTAAAACTTGTGGGATTTGGTGCGGCGACCAAAAGGTGGCATACCCAACCCATAAGGACTAACTTGTTTTCCAAGATTTGGTGATAGTTATCATAGGGACTAACTTGTTCTCCAAGATTTGGTGATAGTTATCATAGGGACTAACTTGTTCTCCAGGTGATCGTTATCATCTTGTTTGTTGGCTTATGAAAATTAG